TATATATATATATATATATTAGTATGGTCAGGTCTCTAGAAAATCCTCACTAGTTAAAAGGAAATTCTGTATAATACCAGAATTATGAAGCCAGTTCTGTACAATATTCCCAACATAATAGAGGCAGCCCTCCTTTTAATAACCATTTAAATAAAATACTTTACATCTCATTGGGAAATGCTGGGTATGTTATAATATTAATATGTTCAACATCGCACAGCTTTGAATATAATACATTCATTGTCCTCTATGATCGGTGTTTTATAAAAAAAAAGATGACATGGTTAGGTACAAAGTATCATCTTTTTTTTTTATATTTTAGCCCCTAAAGGGTTAGATATGGTCAGTGTTTTATAAAAATATGACATGTTTAGTTGTATAAAATATCCTATTTATTTGGCTAGTTCTATTTTGGAAAGTCTAAATAGATCCTGGATGGTTCAGTCGAACGTCTTCAAACCTCCTCTGATCATTTTTGAGTAATACCCCCCAGGTTTCAAGGCTAGGTCTAGGAGAACCCTTAACCCCCCATGTCCTGCTCTCAATATTCAATGTCCATCGTGCCCTACCAACAAGTGTCTCTGGAGTTTGGGTTGAAGGGTAAGTCCCATCATGACATGCTAGTCTTATCATCTGGTACATGTAGTTCTACAGCAGCTAGGGATCTCAGGTTTCCCCAGGCAAGGATATCCCAGTTTTCACTGAATAAATTGTGCCCTGTGGTGTCAGTATTTAGTATGCAATGCCCAATAGCCCTGCTAATAAGCTGATGTAGAAGTGTAAGATCCCAGCATGCCAGTTTAGCTTTAACAGCTGGGACATGTGGTGTAGCAGCAACTGGAAGAAAATCTCCAGGAAAGGATATTCAGGGTTAAGTTGTGCTCTGTGATGTCAGTATTTAGTATGCAATGCCCATTGTGCCCTGCTAAAAGTGTCTCTTAAGTTGATGTAGAAATGTAAGTCCGAGCATGCCAGGTTAGCCTTACCAGCTGGTATATGTGGTGTAGCAGCAGCCAGGTTAGCCTTACCAGCTGGTATATGTGGTGTAGCAGCAGCCAGGTTAGCCTTACCAGCTGGTATATGTGGTGTAGCAGCAGCCAGGTTAGCCTTACCAGCTGGTATATGTGGTGTAGCAGCAGCTGGAAATCTCCAGGTAAGCATATCCATAGTTAAGTGTTGCTATGTGGTGCCAGTACTAAATATTCCATGCCCACTGTGCTCTGGCCAACAAAAGTTTTCTTGAGTTGATGCAGCAATGTAATTCCTAGCATGCCAGGCTAGCCCTACCAGCTGGGACATGTGGTTCTACACAGGTTGGAGATCTCAAGGAAAGCATATCCATAAATAAGTGGTGCCAGCACTCCATGGGCTTTGTGTCCTTCCAACTATGACTCTTGACTTGGTGTATAGGGTAGACGTCCCACCATGGCAGGCTAGCCCAACCAGCTTCTACACATGAAAGGCTATATTCATGTGTACAGTGAAGGGCCCAGGCCGTGCCAATGCTGTGCCAGCTACATAACAGCAGAATGACAGAAGTACTTACTCGTACCTTTCCTTGGCCTCGGCCGCCCGGTCCCTCTGCCTCCTGTTTTTGAACCAGTTGCTGACCTGGGTGGTGGTGAGTCCAGTGGCCTCTGCCAGCTCCCTCTTTTCCCTGGGTGACGGGTAGGGGTTGTGGGCATACCATTCCCTTAGCACGCTCCTGCTCTTCTCCTTGAAGCAATAGCTGGTCTCTTCCCCGTCCCAGATGGAGCGGGGCAGGGGAAACTTTCTGCGCACCCTGTACTTGCCCACCGCCCCCAGGGGGCGCCCCCGCAGCTTCTCCGCCTCGATGTAGTGCGCCTTGAGCCACAGCTGCTGCAGCTTGGGGTGGTTGTGCGGGGAGAACTGGTGGCTCTCTAGGATCTTGTACAGCTCCCGGAAATTGCCCCGGTGGAAAGCCACCACCGCCTTGGCCTTCAGCACGCTCTCGTTCTTATGGAGGTGCTCGCAGGCTGGCAGGGACCAGAGGAAGCGCCCCAGGCGCTCTATGTTCCCCCCTTGCTGGAGCACCTCGCACACGCAGGCCACTTGCTCCTGAGTGAAGCCAAAGGTGGGCAGCATCGACATGGTCCTTGGCGGCGCTACTGATCACTGACACAACCATCCAGGGCCGGGAGAGGCAGCAGCCTGGTCAGATCGTGCACCACTCAATCCCATCCACAAGCCATGGAGTCCAGGAAAAGTTTTCTCAAGTCCCAGAAGTTTTGTTCTTGTTCCTTCGCTTGGATCCCGCAGCGGTCCTTTCTCCCCGAGCCTCGCCGTGCCAGATAATATAGAGAGGAAAGGCAGCTCGCCCTCTGTCTGGAGGACTTCTTCTTTTTTTTTAATAATATTATTCTAAACTGGCATGAAAAATTATTGTGCGCGCTGTGATTGGTCGGTTATCTGACCCGGGGACTGCGAGGATAAGACAACAGTTTTAGTCAAATTATTCGCCATGGTTACCCTGTCAATCAGGCGAAACCCGATCCGCATGGAGGAGGCTCCCTGGCCGCCTTGACAGATTGCTCTCATCCACTGAGAGGCAGCTTCGCAGCTGAAAAGATCGGGTGGAAGGCTGGCTGAGTTCTGCCATGATTGATGCAGCAAGAAGCCAAAAAGGAGAAGGAGGGAGGAGAGGGAGCTGGAATATTGGAATGTCATCCCTGTCCTAATGTAGTCTGCTTCATTCACTGCAAGAGGCACTTCTGTGCTGCTCATAGCCGGCCTGTGATTGGCTCCCGCCAAGTGATGGCTTCACTTCATGCTGGGGTACATGTCCTGCTCCTGCAGACAGTTTGCTGTCTATGTTATAGAATCTAGATGGTAGGTTCTGTATAGAGATAAACAAAATGGGTTAGAAATTTGGGATTTTATTTTAGCTTATTGATAGGTCAGTGTCAGCGGAGGACTGGCATAGGGGGGAATCACCCCCTGGGACAGGACAAATATTGGGTTACTGCCCTGAGTGGAGATACTCCCCTATTCAGAGTACAGTAAAGGGAGTATGGACCTGAAGTTATTTGTTATATGGGTATCAGCATCCCAGTTATATACAAAAAGAGATGGTTAGGGGATTTACCAGAGACGACTTCTAAGAAACGTACAATGTAACAATCATTACATTAGAATACATTGAGCCCAGACTTGCTGTTACTGGGTACAGTTTGGTACAGTTTTATTTCTTCTCTATACATGTTTTCCCCACTCAGTCTTCTTTCCCACAATCAGTGACAACAACCACTGGGTGTTATATAACTACCTGCTCCCTCCCCTTCATCCATGCGGTCACTGACTGCAGGTCATCCTTCTGTTGGTGGTCTGAACTGGGGAGCAGGTCCAATCTTTCTATCTATCTATCTATCTATCTATCTATCTATCTATCTATCTATCTATCTATCTATCTATC